GAAGCCGGATGCTTAAAAAGTTCACAAACGAAACCTCCCTCAATCGTTTTCACTCTATCTCTTTCAATTTGAAATATCTCCCAAATCTCTCCCAAAAGACCCGAAACCCATTCATAGGGCCGAAGCCTCCCTTGAGCCGAAGCCCGAAGGACCAAAACCAAAGCCCTCTTAAGGAACCGCAACCATCGGACCGCAATGAATAAGGACCGCACCTGCTGAGAATCGAGGCTGCCGGAGACCGCCATGCTGATCCGTACCAGCAGTTTAGCATCGCACCCGACCCTCGCTTCAGACCCTCCTGACGAACCCGCCTGCGGTACCTCCTCAGACCGCAGTCCCTTCCCCTTTGGATTCGCTTCATCGATTGAGTCTCCACTCCAGTTCTAAGGCTGCGAAGGTCCGAAACCCTCGCCCCTGACTTCGGATTTCCCTTTTTCCACCTGATTTTCAACCACGACTCAGTTTTAAGCCCGTTTTTAATTATTTCAACGGGGGATTTTCACCCAAACTTATATTTTAACATATTAAGACCCATATGTCTTAATTAATCATGTTTTTAATGCAAATCTTATCCAAAATTTAGTGGTCAAAATAATTAAGGTGGAGTGTTGACCTTGCTTTACTTTATGACACAAGCAACCACCCCCCCCCCCTTACCCACTCTATGGCCAGTCACTCCTCCCACCATACTTTGGTCATGTCAAGGTACTTTCTCATCATTTTTCCAACCATTCCCACGTTTTAGAGCTGGAACAATTCTCTCTCTCTCTCTCTCTCTCTCTCCTCATTCTCACTCACTTCTCTCATTTCTACCAAAAGATCAAACCCACTTTTCTCTTAAATTCTTTCACATAAATTTGAGATTTCCAAGGAATTTTCCAGATTTTTCTCCTTCATTTGGTAAGTATCCTCACCCTACTTATGGTTATTACATTTCCTTTTACTCAAATCATTAACTGCTTACACAAACTCCACCATTTGGATGTTAGATTCTCGAATTTTCAAGCAATCCTTCAAGTGTTCTTGAGTTGAACACTTCTCTCCTTTAACATCCATCCACTGAAATCACACAAGGTGAGTTCATACCCCTATCTTTACATGTTTTCTTAAGTTTTAAGGGGGGAATACAAGTTAAAACACCAAGAACGCCACTAAGTTCTTCTAACAGCTTTCAACAGAAAAGTTAATGTTCATTCACGGACTGTTTTGGTCAACTTAAACAGTTTAGTTTTCAAAACATTTTTACATGAAAATAGTTTAGGTTTAGACCTTTAAAATGACAACCTACATATCCATACAGTTTTTCGACAATTTATGGTGATTTTTACAAAATTGTGTATCATTTCAAGAGCAAATCCGGACCAGTCTATGATTATGGACTTTTTCTCACAAGTTGGAGGTCATTAAAAATCACAATAAAATTTATGAACAAACTAGACTCATTTCCCAAACTCTCAAAATTTACGGATTCTGATTTGAAACTTTGATAATTTTTCTATAAATTTTCAAAGAACAGTAATAGAAATGTTAACACTAGAAAAATGCTATCAACTTCATTTGCACCTTGTAATTTGTTGAGCAATGTGTGTATCAATATGTGAATATATGTTTTTACATTACATGTCATTTCGTCTTGGTGTATTGACATACATCAGAAAACAAATGGATTTTTACCCTTCATAAGTATGGTAATTAATTAGTTGTTATATTATATGTTATTTCACCTTAGTAAAAGGTAGATATATATATATATATATATATATATATATATATATATATATATATATATATACCGGTAAACAAAAGGGTTTTTACCTTCACAAATATAGTAGTTATTCATAATAAACAAAGTTATAACTATTACATTTAAACATTTTGATAAACTATAATAGGTATAGTTTATGATCCATTTACTTTTCGAACTCGTTATAAAAGGTTTATTCATAAGTGGGGTACAACTATAAAGTGTCGGTTTATTCATAAGTGGGGTACAACTATAAAGTGTCGGTTTATTCATTAAGTGGGGTACAAATATAAAGTGTTAGGTTATTCGTATAAATTGGGTACGAATACAAAGTGTCAGGTTTTCACATTAAGCGAGGTACGGCCATACAGTACTAGGTCATACGTTAAGCGAGGTACGACCATACGGTACTAGGTTATACGTTAAGCATGGTACGGCCATACGGTACAAGGTTATACATTAAGCGAGGTATGGCCGTACGGTACCAGGTTATACATTAAGCGAGGTACGGCCATACAGTACTGGGTATTCATATAAAAGGGTACATTACAAAGTACCGGATTTTTCTTTCAACTAAACGAGTTTATGTCGATTTGAACTTGCATGATTTATTATAAGCGTGGAAAATTACTTATACATTTGGTCTTGAATTTTAAGACTACAATACATTTTATAAGGAAAATATTGGATTTTTCTTGGTAACCCACAACTCATTATAAAGATCGATCTCCAAACTCTTCATCTAAAAAGCTTATGAACTCACCAACTTAATTGTTTACACTTTTTCAAAACTACTTGTATTCTTAGGGAATCAACGAAATCAGGAAATCACAAGCTCTTGAGGATGGTACGCTACGACGTTGAACAACTATTTTCATATCATGTTGTAATCAATCATTGAAATATGCAGTACTTGAAACCATGTAATTCTTTTCTGATTATATTTATGATTGGTTGTATTTACTTTGAGCACTATTATACTCGTTGTTGTGATACTATACATGAAGTCTGCCACCCCCAGATGTTTCCGCCATCCTTGGTTTGGGGGTGTGACAGATTGGTATCAGAGTATTGTTTATAGTGAACTAAGTATATCGAACCACATAAGATATACAAACTATGAATACATTGGGACTAAAGTCTCTGATTTAAAGTTTTCAAAACGATTATACTTTTAGAAATGAAACAGTTTCTTGTTAAAAGTATGAGTACATACATACATGCTAGTATAGTATCATTATCTTGGACAATACAAAAGTAATACGAGGAGTTGGATACTACAAGTAGACATTGGGATATCTAATTAGACTTGGGATGTATATAGCCTGATCAACTATATTTATCCGAGGTGTGACTATGGTATGCTAGGGCATGGTCGTAGTGAGCAACAAGCCTAAAAACATGCAATGCAAGAAAGTTACTAAGAACCAAACATAACATTTAAAATACTATAGGAGTATCTTGTAATCACACAAGGTGAGTTCATACCCCTATATTTTCATGGTAATTAATTAGTTGTTATATTATATGTTATTTCACCTTAGTAAAATGTATATGTATATATATATATACCGGTAAACAAAAGGGTTTTTACCTTCACAAATATTGTAGTTATTCATAATAAACAAAGTTATAACTATTACATTTAAACGTTTTGATAAACTATAATAATTATAGTTTATGATCCATTTACTTTTCGAACTCGTTAAAAAAGGTTTATTCATAAGTGGGGTACAACTATAAAGTGCCGGTTTATTCATAAGTGGGGTACAACTATAAAGTGTCGGTTTATTCATTAAGTGGGGTATAACTATAAAGTGCCAGGTTATTCATATAAATGGGGTACGAATACAAAGTGCCAGGTTTTCACGTTAAGCGAGGTACGGCCATACGGTACCAGGTCATACGTTAAGCGAGGTACAGTCATACAATACCAGGTTATACGTTAAGTGAGGTACGACCATACGGTACCCGGTTATACATTAAGAGATGTACGGCCATACGGTACCAGGTTATACATTAAGCGAGGTATGACCATACAGTACCAGGCATTCATATAAAAAGGCTACATTACAAAGTACCGGATTTTTCTTTCAACTAAACAAGTTTATGTTGCTTTGAACTTGCATGATTTATGTTAAGCATGGAAAATTACTTATACATTTGGTCTTGAATTTTAAGACTACAATACATTTTATAAGGAAAATATTGGATTTTTCTTGGTAACCCACAACTCATTATAAAGATTGGTCTCCAAACCCTTCATCTAAAAAGCTTATGAACTCACCGACTTAATTGTTTACACTTTTTCAAAACTACTTGTATTCTTAGGGAATCAACGAAATCAGGAAATCACAAGCTTTTTAGGATGGTACGCTACGGCGTTGAACAATTATTTTCATATCATGTTGTAATCAATCATTGAAATATGCAGTACTTGAAACCATGTAATTCTTTTCTGATTATATTTATGATTGGTTGTATTTACTTTGAGCACTATTATACTCGTTGTTGTGATACTATACATGAAGTCCGCCACCCCCAGACATTTCCGCCATCCTTGGTTTGGGGGTGTAACAAATTGTTTTTAATATTGTAGGTCTTGAAATTAGGGAAATCTACAACTCGGCCATGGTCCCATGGATCATCCGTTGATCCTAACCCGCAAAAGGATGTCGCCGGTCCATCGCGCAAAGCAGCCGGTAAACGAAAAAAAAGGAGGAGAAAAGGGAAGCGATTCTTCCATTACCAATGCTGAAATCAAAACCCATCACTCCAACCTTTGGGGTTGCACAATCCGGAAGACAAAATTCTACCATAGAAAGTCCATGAAAAAGCTTGGGGTGCACGATGGTGTATTATTTCTGTTCCAAAAAATGAGTTGGCGTGGTTTTCTTAGATTCTGTGATAGAACTTACGTGGAACCCATAATGGAATTTCTTAGCACATATGCACGAGATGATGCGGAGAAAGTCCTCACATTCCAGTTGAAAAGGGAGTACCATAGGCTCACATACACAGAGTTTGATTCCATCATGGGTGTTGATGATCCATACTACATCAGTCCCCAACATCAAGAGTACCAAGATTTTCTGCGTAACTCGGATGCACGCTTTTGGATGCGGATTTTCGGTCTCACTAGCTTCAACCCAAGCCGACAGTGAGCAAAGCACATCGTTCACCCTTGCTAGCAAATTGCTCACTAAATTCTCACGAAAAGCATCTTCGAGAGCCTTGAGCCCGGTCAGATCAACAGATGTTAGCTATTTTTCCTCAGAAGCATGAGGCACGACTCTCCCTCAGTTTTTCAGCCTTCTTTTTAGACAAATGCGACTCCATATGTCAGCGCACTACGGGGGAAATTTTCATCGGAGGACTTATCACGATCATAGGTCGAGTCGTCGACCTAGACTTCCCTGCTCCCGAGTACATACCTATTGATACCCCACCAAACTTCCTGCTAGACTGTGACGCTCTCATTCGAATGGAGATGTTGCTCGATCGGGGAACCTGGACGTACAGTTGGCTAGACTCTGACAAAACCCCGATCTACATCCTTTTAATTTGGATCGATTCTTCATTCGACCCGCACGACCCCGAAACTTGGCTTCCTCCAGATCAGTTGACCCAAGCAGGTGTTTTTCAAGAATTCAGCGATGATGAGGGTGACAACGCAGAGGAGCCTAAGGAAGAAAATGACGAAGAGGAAGACAAGATGCTCGAGGCTGAAGGCCATTTTGACCAGCCTTCAGTGGAGTAGCCGATGTTTCAGCATGACCACTTCCAGGCCCCTCCACAACATTTTGAATAGCCGCATCAGCAGGGGGGACACGATATCCCACCATACTTCCCCCCTAACTTCTTCGACCAGTTCACCACAATGTTCTCTACCATACAGCGCATCGATACTCAGACGGACGAGAACACCCGGGCCATCCAGGATGTGGTGACCCGTGTTGATCAGCTGGAGCAGTCCATCCCGCCTACCTCCTGCCAGGTCTAGGATATGTGGGATTACCACTATCACCTCGGGCATTTCCCACTGCCCGACCCTCCGATTTAGGTCAACTCTGTCGTTACCTTAAGCATTGAGGACAATGCTTGCTCTTAAACATGGGGTGGGGTATTTCCTTTTACTTTTTCATGCATTTTTGTTTTTATTTAATTAGGTTGCATAACATATTAGTTTTTAAGCTAACTTGCATTCATTTTTTTTATTCTTTAAAATTCCAAAAAGATTTTATTTTCTTTTTTTCTACTTTTATATTTTTGCATAACATTTAGCTTAGGGCATTAGCATTCATGCATTTTTGTTGTCTGTTTATTCTCACCCCCTTGGATGCCATGGAATAGGTTCACAGTTATTGTATCATTATTGGTCCAGGATCTTGTTGCTATCTCACCCATCAAACCGGGACCCCTAGCTGCAGTTTGGGACTTCATACTTGGGTTCAGATGCTGGAAGCTTAAAGGGGTAAGTGATCATGGCCAGGTAGTTTCATGAAGAACTATGCATGCAATACTAACAACTGTAGGATATACTATAGCAATGGATGTTTTTATCCTTGCGGTCAATACCGACGAGAGGATCTCACTTGATCATGTTTGAACTATTAGCATGAAGCACTGGTGCTTGTCCTCGAGTAGAATCTATATCCGGTCTCTTTGCATTACAATATTTTTTTGCGATTTTCTTAGGATTTTAAAGAGTCTTTTAGTCCACATTTGGACACTTTCATTATTTTTGAAAAATCACAAGTTTTAAACAGATTTTATATTTCTATGCTCTGCACAAGGTCATCGACAATTTGGATTGTATTGTTACCCTCTCGATTCCACTTACATACTTTTGAGAACCAAATTTTGAAAAAAAATCAATATGTTAGTGCATTATCTTCATGTTAATATAAAAAAAAATCCAAGCGGCGATTATCTTAGATGAGCGACCGGTTCAATTATTGAACAAACTATCCTACATTTTGGTCACCCGATGTTTGATATTCATTTATTTAGGTATGTTTTATTGTATATAGATCGAGTTCTTTTTTTTTTTTTTGCAAATTGGTGATGTTAGGGAGACTGTTGAGACGGATACTACGGGAGGTTTGGGCCAACACTAAGTGAACCGATTCCTACAACGGTGCCCGAGCAATGAAACCCAATCACATTTGAGAGTGGCCGACACAACTTTCGTGATAAGAGTGTACACTTAAAGAAGAGCTCCACGCGATCACATCTAAATGATTTCTCCCTACTCCAAATGTTCTTCATTGTATGCATGTTCCATTGAGGTTCCGACTGAGCATCCATTCATACTCACCTAGAGGAGTTGTCCTAGCTGTGGTTTATGGTCCCATTGTCATCGGATGAAAAAGTAATGAGATAATAGCAAGATCAATTCTGACCATGTTGACTAACGGTGATTAGGTTCTGTGGTTCTATCCATTCTTTTTATTTTTCTTAGGATAGTTCATCCCAAGTTCATTTTAGTCTTATTTTACTTGAGGACAAGTAACGTTTAAGCTTGGGGTGATTTGATAGTTTCATTTTATTTACTTCTTTTTTATAGTTTATTTTTGCATATTTCATCCATAATCTAGTTAATTTCCACTCATATTTTCCTTTTTGTTATTTTGTGACTATTTCGGGTACTTTCTAGTTCCGTTAGCTTTATTGTAGATTTCATGGAGACTAGTGGAACGGGAATGTTCTGGATGTATGGAAAGCGATGGGAACTGGTGGACAACAAGGATCTTAGGCTTGATGGGTGGTGGAGATGACTCATGGAGCAAGCTTGATGATTATTTGAAGTCTTTGAGAGATATCAACTTTAAATTTGTAATATACGGGAGTATATTCAAGCGTGCGTAGATTATTAACCGGGCGATTTTGGATCATTTGGAGAAGCGGAATTGGTCTTAAGTTGAAGAAAACTTGAAGAAAAATGGGCTAGGAGCTTATTTGACTCGATCTGGGCCAGTGGGATATGCTTGGGAGGCCTAAAAACTCAAAGAAGCCCATTTCAGGCACCACCCATGCAACAACATGCGGGTCGCACAAGGCCCTGCAGGGGTAATTTCTAAAATCCATTTGCAAGGCTATTTGAGGATCGTTGGTGCCCATCTTTTGTACACTCTTGTACATCTGATTTTTTAGCATTCTCTCTGGAGTTTTGGAGACTTTTAAAGGCCAACAACACCTCAAGAACATCATCTTTTCACCTCTTGATTTTTTTTAAATGTTTGGTACAATCTTCTCTAACTTTGTTTTCTTGAGTTTAGCCATGACTAGCTAGACAAATCTTGGTTTACTTTGGTGAAATACTTTGACTATTTGTTGAATGTTGAAGATTCCATGAACTTGTGTTTGAATCTTTATAAGAATTTTTTTGTGTTTTAACATCTTATCACTACTTGTATGTTTTTATTCATGAGTTTAAATGTGTTTGTAGTGATTAGTTGGCTAATTTCTTGATTAATAAAAGATCTTCAAATTAGCAAGCAACAAGTGATTTTTGTGTTAGTTTTACTTCACACAATCATAAAAACTTTTCATCCAACATGGTAGTGAAAGCATTTGACTACTCTTGGATTTGGTGACTTTTTGGTTCTTAATGCTAGTTGACTTTCATTAATTACATGCTTAATGGAAATTGTGACTTTGACTAAGGAAATTTTTATGATCTTCTCTAACCATCTTATCAACTAAGAAAAGTCTAGGTAATATCAAGCTTCTTGGGTTACTATAGCCAAATTAAGGATTTAAAACAGTTATTGCACCACTGGATTCTAATGATATGTTCATCAAAAGTTAAAGTGAGGAAACCTTAAGTCAACCATCATTCCCTTACTGATTTTACATCAAACTCTTATTTTCATTGAAATTGTCTATTTAAATCTTAGTTTAATTCTAGTTTATTTCAAGTATTTCAAAAGACCAAACCCTCCATTTTTAATTTGTTGTCATTTTACAAGTATTTTTACAAAGAAATTTCTCATAGAGTTATAAAATTGGACCAATCTCCATGGATACGATCCATTTACCACTATACACTATTTCGTGTGTAATATTTAGGGTATTAATTTTATTGTCCTCGACAACCACCAAAGGGTAGAATTGAAGTAGTGTCTCACAACCTTGTATTAACTAGTTTACGTGTAGTGTAATGTTCTTTTGTACTTGAATCCGCATCTATGCCTTGTAGAGTAAAAAAAATTTACTTAAATAATTATTTAGTAATGTATTCTTGTTATCCGTAAAATAGTGTTCTATATCATAAACTAAGTTTGTCATAGTTTATATGTTTGTTAATGTATAAGCTTTGAATTTGTAAAACTGTGTATTGAAATCCCAAACTATACATATTATAGTTTGCATGTATGTTATGTACTTGGTTCATATATTGAACTGAAAATTATGCAATTACGAATATAAGTTAAAAATGCCTCTTATGCTCGACATGTTACAAAAGGGATAAAATATTTAAATATTATATAAAATGTAGAAATCTTTTGATTGTACCAATTTCATAAGTTTTAAACCTGTTGAAACTCTTTTGTATAAGTTCACAAATTTATTTATGTTTGGCTTGTATTCCCCCCCTGAAAACATTAAAAATAGTAAAAGCATAAGGGTATGAACTCACCGTTGGTTGCGTGAAAGTGTCGGACCGAGAAACTAGAATGAGAACCCTCGAGTTGATGTACGCGACAATTAACAGAGTCCTAATAATAATTAAACACATATACGTGTATTATTAGCGAAACCATTAATTATAGTGTTGGAAAACACTTGCTTTTGGTTTAGGAATGTTATCAGGACTCGATTGAATCGGAAAAAGCGGGTTTTCAGTTGAGTTCTCGGCTTAGGGAGGTTGGCAGCCGTGAACTGTTCTCAGTCGTGAATAGTCACTTGAATGGTTTACTGCCTGATGAAGGTTTGAAGGGTTACAACCGTGAACTGATTTCGGCCCTTGAAGATTTGAAGGGTTTATGGTCGTGAACTCAAGAATAACAATGTTTGATTTGATGAAAAGGCGGGTGTTTGATGCTCCAAAATGAGTTCCAAGGTGGATTGAGTGAAAAATGAGGAGAAAACTTGTGTTTTCGGGTGATGGTTTTTCGAAAGAGAAAGTGTGTTTTCGGCCAGATAAACATAAATGAGGGTAGAAACACGTATATATAGGTTGGGTTCACTGTCGGTGGTGGGTCCCGGCTGTGAACGGTTTACGATCGTGATCGGGTTCACGGCCGTGAACACCGAACAACCATGATTTTTGCTGAATTTCGAAGAAAACTCGGGTTTTTGCGCGATTTTGGTTCCGCCTCTAATATAAATTAAATGATTTTATAAACCATAAAAATTTGACAGAACAAAATAAAATTCAAAATTTATTTAACGGAATCGGGCTAACGTAACGGAAAAAGGTTCAGGTTGTCATAGAACATGTCGTACAATAAGCGTATCAAGAGCACAACTATTTCAGTTGATAGTTCTCTCGATCTTAGAACGTCTGTAAGTTGATCAAAACAATTTGATTATTTGTTTTGGTGGAGTTTTAAATTGTCGCGCTTCTATAGGTGAGATATATTGCTCTTATTGAAGTCGTTCTCAGGAGTCAACCATAATTTTGATTATTTTTTTTGGTGGAGTTTGAAATTGTTGTGCTTCTGTAGGTGGGATATATTGCTCCTATTAAAGTCGTTCTCAGGAGTCAACCATAATTTAGCGTCTACTGTCTGATCCGTTACCTCCCGTTCC